CGCAGTACGCACAGTACGCGTGTGTTCAGGTACACGTAAGCCGTATCGACGTGGGGCGTGTATTGGCGGATAAATGTCGACGTATTTGCGCGTCCCTTGCTGCACACAGAGAGGAACTCGCTATGCTGATTTAAAAAAAGTAAGCTGTTAACTTTGTACCGTGCTGTTTTTTTTTTTTTTTTTGAAGCTGATGAAGTTTCTCCACGGTGAATGTGCTGTTTTGTTTGTTATATTTCAGTAACGGTACATGATGAATTATAAGAAAGTACACGTCATCGGTTCATTCTGAGAAGGGATCGACGGTGCTAAAGCACCTTTATTTCATGTTGTTTCGTTTCACTTCTGGAATGTGACAACCTGCCGTTTAGCGTGATGACTTGTGCGCGACTACACACGTTTTTAAAGCATTCGATGTGCCCGGCACATTCACCGAGAAGCAGGCACGCACAGTTAGCCGCGATAAAGCTCGTTGTGCGAAGGTGGCTTCTGCGTGAAGCGTACGAGTCGCCTTCACTTGGTGACTCGCTCACTGGATTCCGTGCCGACCGGTTGTGCCCTCGCGATCTCCGACGTCAGCGTAGCTCTGACCTACTGGACTTGCCCTACGCCATCTCCTGACGCCGACAAGAGCTTTCGCAAGTGGTGCCCCGTCCTCGGACTCCTGTGACCGTGTTTTCATCTTTCCTATCTCTCCTATCCCTCGATATTTCCTCGCTCACTGTCCCAGCGCATCTATCTCTCTCTACATATACCTTTAATCCTATCCTTTTAATCCCTCCTCACCCCCATCCCTTGTGAGGTATACTGTTGAGGTGTCGCACCCTGATGCAGGCACTTACGGGGCTCACTTTTCCCTTCTTTTCCATCTTATAACCACTTCTCACTTGGTAAACGGCTTCTAGCGAAGTCGTTGCAAAAACTGCCTTGCTTGGGCGTGCAGCAATTTGTGGGAACACGAGTACAATTTCTGAACGCTATTGAACATCATGTTTCTTAGAAAGGGGAACGCAAACAAATGTTTTGGTAGCAGTAGCCGGAGCGCATGCTGGTGGAAATTTTATCAACTGGACTCACTCGAACTCGCACTCACGAAAATGTTATTCAAGGGACTTACTCGAACTGAAACTCACAAAAACATTACTCACCCGGACTCACTCAGACTCGGACTCACGGATTGATCTGAGTTTGAACGAGTCCGAGTGAATGGACTCATGAGTCCGTCAACTTAGAAATAGCTTCTTCGACCGTGGTGCCAACGGTCTTTAACACCAATATCTCGCGTAATCGGTGCTGTTCTTGGTGCCGTTTGGCGTACTATAGTATCTTTGAAAGCGTCGTCTGAGTGCCCCCAAACCAGTAAGGTAATTTTTTCTTAGAAGAGATGACAACATAAGGTATAATAATCAAGAAATTCCCTGGAAAAGTTAGTGAGGGAAAGTCAAGGCAATGTCTACGTAAAAGTTCACGCCTCTAATTACATTGAAACGGTGTACCAACGATGCTGCTTTGGAATACTTGTGAGTAGACTTGAGTATAAACGTAAATCCGGGTAAGGCTGATAGTAATGCTGGAAATGACTAGATAGGACCTTAGGTCGGCAAAAAAAAAATGGTACTCACTGAGACTCACTCAAGAAATATATTTTGTGCCATGGACTCACTCGAACTCAGACTCACCAAAATTTTTCTGAGTCGAACTCACGCGGACTCACACTCACGAAAATTTTCTTCAACCGGACTCACTCAGACTCACCGCTTGATCTGAGTCTGAGTGAGTCCGAGTCTGTCGACTCACGAGTAAGTTCGTTGACCTATCCACGCCTCACGTCGATACGATTTACGTACACGTACACGTAAACAAACGCGGACTGTGGTAACTGCGCCGCGCTTAGCCTCTAACATGGAGGTATTTATTTATTTATTAGAATACCCTCAGGGCCCGTAGGGCATTACAGGGGGGTGGGTACAACATTTATAACACACAAGAAAAAAAAGACAAAATAAAGAAACAAGTGTCAGATGCGCAAATCAGGAAGGCAACATAAGTCAACTAAAAATGTATAAGTAAGAATTCAAGCACATACAAGACAAAGATAGATAATGGAAACTGCGTATAGTTACAAGCATTGCTGAGAAATTGCAGTCTTGAATAACAAAGGGTCTGTTATTGTTACAACGGAAGAGGGAAGGTGGTTCCAATCGGCGGCTGTTTACGGTAAGAAGGCTGCTGAAAAGAATTTGGTGCGGCAAAACGGAATGCACATGACGGCCGACAGATGGCAGCAATTTTGCATATGGGCGAAATTTTGGAACCATCTAAACTCCCTAAGAAATGAGACGAGCCTAGAGCAGAGTTTTATAACTACAGCCCAAGGTGCTAGGCTAGAAGGGGACGAAGCTATTGAATATATAAGAACAAGGGTGACAGAAAAATTTCAACAAAGAAGTACTTTATGCACCACAATAGACAAGGACGAATCAAGTGATGCAATGGCTCCATTTTCACAACAAGAGTGGGAAAGGGCTGAGAAAAGGGTTCCTAGTAGTACATCAACAGGCCCAGATGGCATTCCAATTAGGCTGATAAAGACATTAGGTCCGAAGTCTAAGCAGGCTTTGAGAAAGGCAGTGAGCACAATAATAATCGATGGTGAAGTCCCCGATGGATGGAAACTTAGCAGGATTAGCATGATCTATAAAGGAAAGGGGGACAAAGCTGACATAAACAACTACCGTCCTATAACAGTGACATCAGTGATCCACAGGCTGGCGATGCAGGTTATAAAGGAAAGACTGCAGGCGTGGATAGAGGATGAGGGGGTGCTGGGGGAACTGTAGAATGGATTTCGGAAACACAGGAGGTTGGAAGACAATCTGTTCTCACTGACGCAGTGCATCGAAATAGCAGAAAAGGAACACAGGCCCCTGTGGCTAGCATTTTTGGATATCAAGGGAGCGTACGATAGCGTGGTTCAAGGGGAATTGTGGGGAATACTGGACACACTAGGCGTGGAACATGTAGTCACTAATCTTTTAAAGGGTATCTATAAAGGTAACAAGGTAGTTATAAAGTGGGAAAAACAGGTATCCAAGCCTGCAGAGGTAAAACGGGGGCTTAGGCAGGGGTGCCCCCTGTCACCCTTATTATTCATGATGTACCTACAAGGATTAGAGGCAAAATTAGAGGGAAGTGGACTGGGCTTCAACCTCTCTTTAGTCAAACAAGGAAAACTTATTGATCAGGCACTACCAGCATTAATGTACGCAGATGATATAGTGCTAATGGCCAACAACAAGGAAGATTTGCAGAGATTGATGGACATCTGCGGTAATGAGGGAGATAGGTTAGATTTTAGATTCAGTAAGGAAAAATCAGCAGTCATGATTTTCAATGACAACGAAGGTAGTGAGCTTAGAATACAGGAGGTCACGCTAGAGATAACAGATAAATACAAATATCTGGGCGTATGGATAAGCAATGGGACCGAGTATCTGAGGGAACACGAAATATACGTGACGACTAAAGGTAACAGGAATGCAGCAGTCATGAAAAATAGGGCACTGTGGAATTACAATAGGTATGATGTTGTAAGAGGAATATGGAAAGGGGTCATGGTTCCTGGGCTGACGTTCGGCAATGCGGTCTTGTGCATGAGATCAGAAGTTCAAGCAAGATTAGAAATTAAGCAATGTGGAATAGGCAGGCTTGCTTTAGGAGCTCACGGGAATACACCAAATCAGGGAGTACAAGGTGATATGGGATGGACATCATTTGAGGGCAGGGAAGCTAGCAGCAAGATAAAATTTGAGAAGTGATTGAGAGAAATGGGGGAAGAGCGTTGGGCTAGGAAGGTTTTCAGCTACTTGTACATGAAGAATGTGGATACAAAATGGAGGAAGCGAACCAGGAAGTTGACTGGTAAATACTTAGAAAACAGCAGGTGGCCAAACCAAAAAGAACTATCGGTTAAGAAGAAAGTGAAGGAAACGGAAACTGACATGTGGAGAAAGGGCATGATTAAGAAGTCCGCACTAGAGATCTATCGAACTTTTAAGCAGGAAATTGCCAAGGAAAGGATCTATGATAATATTCGGGGTAGTTCTCTACTGTTTGAGGCCAGGACGGGAGTACTGCGAACCAAGACATATCGGGCCAAATACGAAGGGGTAGACACAGTATGCAGTGCGTGTGGAGAGGAAGAAGAAACTGCCGAACACTTGATAATGTTCTGTAAAGGGATTCACCCTATAGTTCAGGATGATGGCGCAGAGTTTTTCAAAGCACTGGGGTTTAGGGACCGGGAGGGCAAAATAAACTTTAAGCGGGTAGACTTAACTAGAAGGAGGTTATCTGATTGGTGGCTAAAGTCAAGGCACGAGTGAAAATTAAACTCTTCACTGCAAAGTACGAATCCTCAAACTCACTTTTTAAGAAAAAAAAATAAATATAGTTTTTGGTTCATTAGGTATTACGGCTTGGTGGCGCTAGCCACCGCCCGATCTAAAGGGTACAGCCATATCCATCCATCCATCTATCCATCCAAACCGGCCCGCTATTGCGTCCTCGTGAAAGCTAATAACTATTCATCTGTAAAAAAAAAAAAAAAAACGAAGTGCACTGTATACAGCGCTGTAATCGAGCCGATGAATCCACATGGGAAGATTCGTGAAAGTAATTGAAGCAACGTGGTTGTGACATATTGAAATTAGAGGCATGACGCTGAAGCGGTGAAATTCAGTCTTTTCGTCTACACCAATTATTTTACCATCATCGCATAATTAGTATCCTTAATTAAAGCAAAAATAATGCCTCCTATGTATTCCTTGACTTCATTAACAGAAAAAGTACTAATGGTCCTCTTAGAATTTTAGTAGTTATATTGAATTTCAATCCGACTCGTGGCTTGTCCAAGAGGGTATAAGCCATTAATAATAGAAAAAAAAACTGAAAGAAAACGATAGCACAAGCATAAAAACATTTTCAGTACTAATCGAGAGTGTTTATTTCTTGAACATGAACACTTCGGCCGAGTCGTAAGCGACTGCGGCGAAAGAGCTTCCATCGGGCGTGAGAAAGGCGCAACCCATGAGCATAGAGTCCGCGACGCTCTCCCCGTGAACGTGGTCGATTGTGTGCTCGCCCTCGCGATCCAGCTGCCAAACGCGCACGTAAGAGTCCTCGGCAACGGACAGGGCGAGCCCCGAGTCCGGCGCGACGTCGATGGCCGTGATCCAGCGGGCGTGTGCCGTGGCCTCGGCCATGAGCTGAAAAGAGCACGCGCTGAACACGCGCAGCTCGCCCGAACCGTAGCCCGCCAAGACGAGATCGTGCCAGACGCGGATGCTCACGCACGGGCTGCTGCCGACCGGCGACAGCTTGCGAAGCAGGTTCAGAGCCGTTTTTCCCCGCCACAGACAGATGCCGCCGCCGTCGTCGGCGCTCGCCATGATCTCACCGTGGCTGTGGATGTCGGCAATGGCGTGCGGCGCGTGCTCGGTGGCCCGTTGACAGAAAGTGACGTTCAAGTCGCGCGAAACTAGGTGCGCCAAAATGGTGCCAGCGTTGGTGCCGATGCATAGCAGACTGGGGCCACACGTGCCTATTCCGCGCGTGAACGTCTCCTCAGTGGCATCCAGATCCTGGGGCAGGGGATGACAGTGGAGAAACACTGAACCGTCCCATTCGAAGATCTGGAAGGCTCGTGTCGAGGCGATCACTAGCAGAGTCTTAATGTCCTCCAGTTTGACCCATTTCACTTGCATGAGTTCGGTGCAGGGGCTGCCACCGATGTCTTTGCAAGCCACTTGCGACTGGTGCACGCTGCCGTCGGGAGACCGGAAGAGCGTAGTGACCTCCGTCTTTCCCACGAACGCTAGGTTGATCTTCCCTCCCTCGGTACAAGTGGTGAGGTTGTTTGGCAGCGGGCAGGCGCTGTGCCGGCACAAGAGACTCTTGTCCTTTTGGTACATGGTGCTACCCGACACTGCGCCGACCAGCGCGCTGCTGCGGTTCGGCCGTCCCGTACTGCGGCCGAACGTGATCGATACGCGTGCGTGCGAAAACTGAGTCTGTGAGGTGCTATGGCAACGCGTGGTTTCAAATGGCAATGTCCCGTGGGTATTTAAAACGGGAAGAAAGGTTTTTATTGTGCTGCTAATGGTGCTGTGCGTGTAACGCTTGCAATGATCCATGCAACGCACACGTGAAAACTTGCATAGGTCACAGAAGCTCAAAAAAAATCTTATGAAAAACTACTTGCATATAATACAGAACTTTAAAAAATCTACCCGAAAAAATCTCAGATAAATCTTCCATCATCACCGATATATTGTTGTGCACGAAGATAGTGCGCTAGTTTATTTCTTTGACTAAAACAGGGAGAAAAAGAATGAAAAAAAAAAACAGGTCGTGGCTGACTTATTCTGAAACAACAAACATTTTAGGCAAACCCGTTGCCAGGCATTTTTTTTTTCAAGGGTTTGGTGGGCACTTTTAGAAGGCCTTGAAAATATGTTTTCTCGGTAAAGCAAAGCAGCCCCCCCCCCCCCCCCCCATATCAGAGTCTCAGTAGCGGAGGGGGGGGGGGGAGGGAGCTAACGCACTCTCCTTGGTTACGGGCCTGCTCTTATTTTTATTTTTTTATTTGTAAAACCCTCAAGGTACATTTGTACATTTACAGGGGAGGGGCGCAACTACAGATGAACAACAAAATAAATACATGATTATGTAAACGCATTTAACATGAAGATAAATATAATGATGAAGTTTTGCATGCAAGGAGTGCACTATATTAAAAGTCAACTGAACTAGAATCACGAAGAATACACTAAACAGTCAATAACACTTACGCCGATTAGTACAGTTCACGATTCTGAGTTTATTAGTGCATTCTTATATCAAGTGGGGTCGGTGATGCTTACTAATGATGCACGTAGGTTATTCCAATCTATTGACGTCTTAGGGAGGAATGATTGTGAACATGCTAAGGTTTTGTGACGAGGTACGCTGACCTTGTACACGTGAGCATGGCGAGCAGAATGGTACGCTGCCGGGTGAATCCAAAGTGAGCGAAGGAAAGTATAAAGCACATGCTCCCACAGGTTACGGCTCCAAATTTCACTTTCAACAAATTTTCGTGTACATTTGAGGTTTGCAAGCTCAGGGAGTGCCCCGCCGCGGTGGTCTAGTGGCTAAGGCACTCGGCTGCTGACCCGCAGGGCGCGGGTTCGAATCCCGGCTGCGGCGGCTGCATTTCCGATGGAGGCGGAAATGTTGTAGGCCCGTGTGCTCAGATTTGGGTGCACGTTAAACAACCCCAGGTGGTCTAAATTTCCGGAGCCCTCCACTACGGCGTCTCTCATAATCATGTAATGGTTTTGGGACGTTAAACCCCACATATCAATCAATCAATCAAGCTCAGGGAGTGAGGTGAGTGCAAGGTTGAAAATGGAGTTTTCGTTACTCTTTGAAAAGTATACATAACATTCGAAGCAGTCTCCTCGTAAATGTTGGCCAAAACGTTTTAATCCCACTAACAAAATTGAAACCCGAAAACAATGTGCACACTGCACGGTGTGCGGAGAAATTTTCAGCGCAACGCTGCACGCGCCCTCTCGTGTAGAGTAAACTGAACGCTACTGTTTGGAAAGGCTTTCGAGACTTTAAGCGAATTCGCTTTTTAATCTCTGAGGACACGGCGCTCAGCGTTGACGTCAAAAAAGAGCAGAGAGAGGAGAGCCGACGTGAGCGACTTGCTGCGGCGGCGTCGGAAAACGTCCAGAGGGCTCTCTCACAAGAGAGGCTGCTTCGCTCGCGTGCCGCCGGTCCACTGCAGTGAAAAAAGCAGTCAGGAGTCGTTCAGACGTGGTGCGTTGTTGTGGAGCTCGCCGGCGGAGAGCTCGCATAATCGCGCGGCTCGGTACGACGTTCGTGCAGCGGCTCTTCAGGCAAGGACCGGAGTCTCGCTAGGAGGAGGAGTAGTCCTGCACCTTCCGTCCAAGGTAAGCATGACCACACAGCGAGCTGTTCGGTCCAGTCCTTGTTCCGAAACGCCGCGCGGGGCGGGGAGCGTTGGGCTTCACCGGAGAACACCGTGGTTGGTCGCCATCTCCGCGCGCGTGCCGCGTTGCCGCCCACGTTCCAAGGCTCATCACGGAACAAAAACGCAAGTCCGATCCCGCGATGTGAAGCTGCGGGATCTGGCCAGCGTTCTAAGACCACGGTGACACACCGCCCGATCACACGCCGAGCGGCAGAGCAGCCCGGAACGGCCGTATAACGTGCGCACCGAAGCGAAGGAAAGGCCACATTGCCCCCGAAAATCGATGTGTTGTTAGTTTTGTGCGGATCGTTGATTCGCGCGAATTATGACGCGCGCTCACGCACGTGCAAGTTGTGTTATTTGTTTCGGTTGCGCTTCCACACACACACACACACACACACACACACACACACACACACACACACACACACACACACACACACACACACACACACACACACACACACACACACACACACACACACACACACACACACACACACACACACACACACACACACACACACACACACACACACACACACACACACACAAACAAAAAAGTAAAAAAAAGTAATAGGGAAAGAAAGGTGCGTGCCGCCGGGAAGAAAGGAACGGTAATGCACCCGAGCGATTCCATTGTCTTGAAAAATGGCCCGCAAGTTCTCCATTCAGCTGCACTGTGGGATGACCCACTTTTATTCGCGGATGCTTCGGGCATGGGGGAAAAAAAAAAGAGCACACTGCGCGAAATGGTGGAAGGTGATTGCTTCTGGCCCGCTGCAGAACCAGGAAATTGTAGCGTGCAATCCCAGCTACATAAGAACAACAGCGTCTTCAACGTGATGCGCTAATCACTAACAATAAACATAGAGAAAAACAAAAAACACTTACGTTGCACGTTAAAGCAAAAACGACGATACCCAGTGAGTAGTTTAATGTACAAAATTATAGATGTGATACGCGGCGCTGCTTTTGTGGTGCAATCGTGAACAGAACGACTTTGTATGAAAGACTGTCCTATCACAGTTCTCGTCTCTGCCTCAACACTAAGTTCTACAGATAAGTGAAGCACTGGTCCTAACAAAACGTGAATAATAGCTTGTCCAGCAATATTCACAAGTCATATATAAACCACTGTGCCAAATGCGTAGGTAGTTTAATGCGAAAATGATCGATAAGAGCAGAATTAAGCGACTACAAACTGGGTAAGAAGACGCACCAACTTTAGTCCACCATACCTATACGACAGCACTATAAGAGAGAATCCACAAGAAGTTTTCCTTGAGCATTCTCTCTTTGTCCGCACTTGACGCTTTGTTTTGAAGATTGGGAGCCTGAAGATGCTAATTCGAGGGGGAGAGAAAAAAAGGAGGAGGGCTAGTGAGCACGTTTAGGAAGACTAGCTCTTCGATAGAGTTGTTGTTCCAGAGGAGACAGGTAAGTGGACATCTGTCGAAACTCTTTGATTATGTTCATTCTATAGGACGTACGTCGACTGAACAGCTTCCTGCGAACGTGCGGTGCAAATATGACGCGTTTCTCCAAATCCATTGCTATTACAGGTTATGTATTTACCACAATAAAGGCACCTTCATTATATACACGAGTCCGAAGCGTAGATGTGGGTTTTGCAATGTCGGGCACGTGCGCACAAAGGGCACACACACCGTGGAAGGTGTTAACGTTTCGATTGCTTTGATTTCCAAACCTTTGTTGGTCGCTTCAATTCAATTCCCTTTGTTTGAAAACCTTGCTTTGTATGCAATCGGAAATATGCTATCAGAAGCAGGCTCACATCGCTCTGAGTGCCGCAACTCGAACGTTGCGCAATGAGTCACGCGTATTTTTTTTTTTTTTGTGCTTGACTATGGACACGCCCATCATTAGTTTAGCCATGTCTCAAAGCAATAACTTGGCTTACAAGAACTGAAATTTGGGCTTGTTTGACCACTACGGTAAAAAAGAAAACAAAACAACACCGCAAAATAATTTTGCCTTCTAGCGTAGGTATTCTCAGAAATACGGAGAGGGGCTGCATTCACGTCACTCTCTAATTTGCGTGGTGCAGCTGTTGTAAAAAGGAAGTGATCACGACATTTTGGCCGCTTAAACAAGGTTTTAGCGAGGTTTAAGACATCGCAGTACTCAGCGAAACGTAAGCATAATACTTGAACATTCCCCAGAGATTAGCAATTGAAGTTATTCAAGGCATGCATCCATGCTGTATACATGCCACTTAAAGAATAATAATGATACGCCGTCCTTGTGCATGACAAAACTACGATATGATTATGAGACACGCCATAGTTGAAGGCTCTGGAAGTTTGGACCACTTCGGGTTCGTTGACGTACACCCGAATCCAAGTATACGGGCCGCTAGCCTTTCGATCCGATCGAAGTGCGACCGTCGTTGTCAAGATTGAAGCAGTGACTTTCGGGTCGGCAGCCGAGAACCAAAGCCTCTGTACCACCGCGGCAGTACACGTCACAAGACGTCTGTCGTGTGGATACGAGAGGCTAATGAAGGCCGGTGAACGAGAAGAAATAATCGTTCTCCACAATATATATGGTGAAATAATGTATTTTCTAGGTCATGGAATCACCGTTAGCTATAGATTGGTTTCCGGAATTAGTAAAAAGGAAGAGGAAGGGAAGGACAGATACTATAAGGGTGAACTCTCTATAGCTCACTATGCTGCTACTAGCGAGTGATGCCTCCATAAATCAACACATCTTGGTGCGTCGCTATGTGGAAGCGGAATGTAGCGGTCATTCTCAGTATAAAAAGCCAAATGTAATGGATTCTTGTGGCGAGCAACACGAGAGCTTATTCCTGCATTTTTCTTTACTTTTCACAGTGAAGCCGTTGTAGCTGACCGTTAGTCCGCGCAGAGTGATCAGAAAACCATCGCCATCATGAACGGACACGTACTTTCATCGTTCTCGTCTTCTTTTCCGGCCTTAATGTTCTGCTTCGCTTTCAGAAGACGTGCACAGATTTCTCCGTCGGAGAATGCAGTAACTCCGACGAGTGAGGCAACGAGTACAGTCAGAGAATAAAACAGAGAGAGAACGAACGAGAGAAAGGAAGAATAAAAAGAACACAAAAAGAACAAAATTTGACGGGACAAAATCTTTTTGGTGAGGCGGAATTCGAACTCTCGATCCAGAGGCGAGTGTTGATAATAACCACGTGGCTATCCAAGCATGCGAGCGGAGCTCAGCATTGTTTTCTGTAGTATAATGTAGAAAGAGGTTTGGAAATGCAAATGAGGGTGATGAGGAAGGATGGGAAAATGAGGTCGGGGAAAGGAGCAGGGGAGAGTGTAAAGCAAGAATGAGAGAAAGGAAAATAGTGAGAAAGAAAGAAAAAAAAAGGCAGAAAAAGAAAGTAACATAAATGAATAGAAAGACAGAGAAAGAGTGAGGAAGCAAGTGGAAGCAATAGAGAGAGAACGAGAGAGTAAAATAAGTAAATAAACAAAATGAAGTGGAAAAAGAAAGACAGAAAAAGAAACAAAAATGAAAGAAGGAGAAAATGAAGAGAAAAGAAGAGTGCTGTCCTGCTCCGCACCATTCCTTCACGCTTATTACCACTAGTGCGAAGCATTTTTAATTTCATTAACTGTCTTATCTGAATAAATCAACAGTTAGGCGTTCTTGTAATGAAGTGATCTTTAAAACGGAAGTAAAAATATAGGAGGTATAATTCTGCTGTACATCTTTGGGTTTGTTTGATGTTGAACACGACATATCAGATGGGTACTCAATTCATCCACCGCATGTTCTTGAATCGTTTTGCGCTCGCGTAGTAATATTCGTTGCATTTGAAGAGCTCATACTTCTTCGCGAGTGGTGCACGTGATTTTGATTATGTGCAGTATTTTCGCAGTGATAAAGTTGTGTTACACTATAAAAAAATGGTGCTGGTGGATACTGGCGTGGGCACTTATATTGTTAAACAGAAAGATTGATATGTGAGGTTTAACGTCCCAAACCCACCATATTTGTGAAAAAGAAAGAAATAAATCTCAGAAAAGTTGTTCACCATATAAGGAAAATAGTGAGCTTCGCAAATGAGTATACTGGCTGATATTTGAGGAGTAAGGTGCTACAGCAAACACCGAACGAAGGAAAATTTAATCGTAAACAGGTGTAAACTGAAAGGATAGAAATATTCCGGTGAAGAACAAGTGTTGAGATCATTTATTCTTGTCACACACACAGAGCGCCATATTGCGGATGGACAAGTCACCAGCGACGCTGAACGTCGTCAGCGTGGGGCATGTATTGCATGCAGACGCTACGTGGTCCGTTGTACTTTCCTAGCGCCTCTCGGCCGGCAAAGCACCCAACACCTGTACGTTGATATGGGCGGCACATAAGTCGTCCTTCAGGCACGTATCAACGACACCCACAGGGCGTAATCAACAGACCATAGACGTTGGAAAACGTTCAAAGCGCATGTAATGTGAAATCGTGTGCAGCCAGGAAATGACCTTTTTTTTTAATACCCTCTGTCTGCTTTTATAGAACCATTAGAAACAGCGAAAAAAACAACACTCGCCACTAAAAAAAAAAAAAAAATGTCAGTGTAGTCGGCTCCAATAGCTTCGTGCATGTCCAGTTAATGCGCACATGGGCGTTATACGGCACTAAACTAATTGGTTGAAGAGTTTGGTCATAGTGACTCGTGCGTTTGGAGTATATGTCTCAGTTCTCGTTCCCACAAACTGCGTTTCAGTTCTCGCTTTGCTGGCACTGTGCACCACTTTGTCAGCATGAACGCTGCGCACAAACAGCGTTAATCTGAGCTTAAGCAGCGATTCTTGCAAACGTGCTCGTCAGAACCTCACTAGGCGCTGTTTGATTATTTACCTCTACCGTTAATTAATCTCGCTCACATAACATTTGCTCATTACAAATGTATAAAAAGATAATTACGGACATTGAATG